ACTTCACAATAAACAAGGTTTCAAAAATAAAATCACCACTTTACAATAAATAAGGGTTCAAAAATAAAATCACCACCTCAAAATAAATAAGGGTTCAAAAATAAAATCAACACTTTGCAATTAAAAAATGGTTCAAAAATAAAATCAACACTTTACAATTAAAAAATGTATTTTTGAACCATTAAAAATGGTTCAAAAATAAAAACAGTTCAAAATGTATAATGGTAACTGTTTCGGTCTGTTCAGTCCATAAACTAAGCACGGGATCAAAAAATGTATTGAAGATGTCATTAGCAGAAACAAATTGTTCTACAGAGTCTTGGCTAAATGGCTATAAAATAAAATCAATACTTACAAATAAAAAATGGTTAGGAAGCGCATTACAAACCTTTGGTTGAAATGGCGCGTTAAATTCAAGTCTCCATTACAGACCAGAGAAAACTAAAGAGAATGCAACATTGTGTTAATCCGTTTGAGGAGCCGGCAGTTTATCTTGAGGAAATAAATGACGATGCAAAAGTTAATTAGACTGTAACATGCGCAGTCCGCTGCTCAACCACTGCGGACTGCGAAGAATTAGAAACCGCTGGGAGTAACTCATCCAGCGGATTTAACAAATGGAGCCTTCTGGGTGGAAGTTACCCAGGAGAGCGGCGCTCTGGAGGAGCTGCAGACGTAACATCTGTCCGTTTCGAAGAAGCAAAACCACGCAAAAAAAAAGAAAAAAAAATCCTGGTAAAAGCGCACACCGGACCGCGCAGGGTAAAACACTCACACAGTTGATCTGTTTGGATCAGACAGATCCAACTGACTGATGAGTCAGCGCAGATTTTTCTGCAGATGGGGACCAAGAGGAAGTTGTTCAGACCCCAGCGGGTGAAGTGATGCTAATTTAAGTAAATTCGCTTAATTTAATTTATTAAAAGTTATTGGGGTGGTTTTTGTCACTACGAGAAAATGTAGATATATTTATCAGCTTCATCTGTGATGGGATCTGGATTCACGGTGAATATTAACTAAACCGCATAAAATGCGGCTAAATATCCGATGTTAATATGATTGTAATTTCACGGATAAAATAGTACCTGACCGATTTTTTTTTTATGTTGTCGGTCAAGATAACGTCTAGCGCCATCTGCCGCCCTGACACCAACTCACACACATCTTCATTCACATTCTTACTTGTAAATCCATTTTTCTTTTCTTGGACGTTTTGATGTTAGCTTGTCGATGTCTCAGTTTTATTCGCTGGGAAAATCAATAAGCAGCTTGAGGTGACTCTGCTGCTCTCTAGTGGCGAGAAGCCGTAATGTTGGCTGGTAACAATCGGAATGCATTATGGGAGATGTAGTTTGTAGTCAATTCGTGCTCAAAACCTGTTTTAAGTCAATCATTGGCCTATAAAATGCTGGGCCACATGTGGCCCGCAGGCCTTGAGTTTGACACATGTACTCTATAGTGTTCTTTGATGTGCAAACACATGGATTAGTTCTTGCAGGAAACTGCATGCACTTTCATTACTTTTGCTCAGCTTGGTATCTGATCTGTGTTTGAAATATGAACTCTGACCATGACTCTAAATCAACCGACTCCCAGTAAATATTTCATTGTTCAGTTACTCCCCACGGATAAAGATAAACAGATCTCTACATCTCCCTTTTAGGTTAGAAGTGGAATAAACAAGCCAGGGATTATTTGGAAACACACTTGAAGTGTCCTCCCCTGTATTAGCATATTCTTTTAGGGGGTGAATAAAAGTTTTTCTCATTCTTCAGCAGGCATGGAGAAAACGGCAGCGTTATTATCAGGTGGCTAATTTGCACAGACTAAAAGCAGCTTGTGGAGAGAAGGGGTGAGGGGATTCTGGCTCGGGCAACAAAGTGCTTTTGTGACAAGCATGATCAGCCAGAGCCAAGTATCGCCTCCTCTGCTGAGCCTGCTCATTAGCATTAGCTAGCCTCTGTATTTGTTCACACATGTGTCAGATTGCGTAGTTTTCGTTTGCTCAGTAGGTGCAGAAAATTAGTGTTCTCACAGACAACCGCAGTGCAATTGTCTGAATACAGATGCACTCGTTCTCCAACCCTAACTGGTCCGAATAGCTTATTGAAACTTCCACGTACATTCACATTCAATTAGGTTCCTCCAGTGGGGCACTCTTTAATAATTTAATCGAAATAAGAGTGGACAAAACACATTTGGGTTGTTTTGTTAGGATAAGAAAAGGTAATGATCTATCTAAAATGTGCTCATTTTCTGTTTAGTGTCTGCACATTTGATACAACAGCATCTTGGTCCCTGTTGCCATGAACCCCTGCAAGACCTACTCAAGCTGACCTATTTGATTTCAGTTTAAATTTTTTTTGGCAAAATAAGTGGTGTGTTTAAATCAAATATTTAGTGATGTGATATGGTTTTACTTATACTGGCAAGTTTACTACTTGTTATTGCTGATGGTTTTTGTTTTCTGTTCCCCTAAGCTGGAACCATGTACATCTTTGGCAAAGGGGGAGGCCTCATTACATTCAACTGGCCAGCTAACGAGAGACCGAGCACCAGAACCGACAGGCTGACCGTTGGCTTCAGTACATCCCTGAAAGATGGCATATTGGTCAGAATTGATAGCGCGCCTGGTCTGGGGGACTATCTTATGCTGCATATAGTGAGTAATCATAAACATCCATCCATTCTTTCTTTCTGTGTTCTCATCTGGCATATTAATTCAGTCCATTACTAAAACTGTCCATTGAAAGATGGCATTTTAACTACATTTTCATGTAAATTACAACAACGATCATATGTTTATTTATTTTCTTAATTTTGACAAGAATACCTTTGGCATATTTCTTGTTCTTGACATCATGTTTCCAAATATAGATATGGAATTTAAGGTTTCTAGTGAGTTCTGATTTAAAAAAACAAAAAAAAAAACAATGATTCGTCAAGTTAAAAATGTTTCAGAAACATTTTACTTCTTGAAGTACTGAAACATGATTTATTTATTTTTCATCAGTAAATGTTTACTCCGTCATCACCTTCAATTCAAGCCTAAATCATGATTCATCCACTCCCTTAAATTCTATGCAAATCATCCATGCAGAAGTAATGACCCTTCACATTTCAGTAATAATTCCCAACCAAACAGAACATCAATAACAAGAACTCCCAACATCTCAGTACAATAACAATAGTATTTCCTTACTTCAGGAACAAGGGAAGATTGGAGTTACCTTCAACATTGGGACTGAGGACATCACTGTTCAAGAAAGCAGCACCCCAGTGAATGATTTGAAGTATCATGTGGTTCGTTTTACCAGGAATGGTGGGAATGCTACGCTGCAGGTGGATAACTGGTCAATCAATGAACACTTCCCTACAGGTACAGCAATAACAGTTAATTCTCACCTGCATAACAGACTGCTTAAAGAGCTCTAATGAGGCAGTGGAGTCACAGCCTCAAAAATGAATGCAATTAAAGCTTTGGCTCAATGTATGCTCATGTTCAAAAAAGAAACTTTGAATTTTAGTAATGACATCCAAGGTCTCCGTTGCTTTTTATATCTTCTTTCCCTTTCCGTCAACCTGGTTCACAATTCCTTTTGGTCAAATATATTCCATTTCTTCATAATGTGATCAGCTCTCAGGAGCATTGGTTTTCCTCTAGCTAGTGGACACACAAATGTCTCAGACTGCATGGATATTGAAGAATTTACTAGCATAGTCTCTAGCTAACATATAAGAACTGTTTTACTGGGGGGGGGGTTATGCAAACAGGGTCAGATCTAAAACAAATCTTCCAGCTAAAATTATTTTAATCTGATGTAAAGTGTACTTGAGTTTTTCACAATGCTGATATCAATAAATGTTTTTTATAAATGTCTTCTTAAACTTTAAAGGGAACAGCGACATTGAGCGCTATCAAACGGCCAATAAGAAAATTCCTTTCAAATATGTCAGACCGGTAGAAGAATGGCTACAAGAGAAAGGTAATTTAAAATAAAGACTTTCTGTGTGTCTCCACTGTCCTGATGTTTAGTTGCATAAGATAGTGGTATTAAAAGCATGTCTTTCTTTCAGCACTTCATACATTGTGTGTTTAGAATGCTTTAAAGCTATTCTGTCGCAGATGTTGACGTAGTCCCAATTGTTCTTATGTACCAAAATAAATCAGCTTTAAATAAAGGACAGGAAGAAGTACATATGTTTTTATTCTTCATAAGTCAATGCATGGTGATGTGTTATTGATCATAAGTCAATGCATGGTGATATGCTAGTAGAAATGAAAGTTGACTTTAGCTGGTCTGTTTGTAGCTGTATTAGTTACACAAACATGTTCATTTAAGTTATAATCTGAAAGATATAACCTTAAAATAAGATATAATTATTATAAGAATGTAAGTGAGTGATATATTGAAGTGTATTACTTCAAAATATGTTGACATAAAATATTTGTATGTATAAAAAAGTTATATTTTTTGAGAAAAGGTAATTCAAGAAAGCTTTAAACTAACATGCAAATGTATATTTAGACCCAATAGAACATGTATTGCTAACAATTGTACACCACCCTTCAACTAGGCTATCACACGCCTAACTGAAAGAAACATAATTAACGTGATTTTATAGCTTGATTTCCAGATACAGGAAATGAGATACATTAACGACCTTTAGATCCTGGCCTGTTGAGTTGCTCATCATAGTCTTTTTTTCCTGCCTTTATTTTCTACAGAAGTTTAAGAGTGACATGGCTTGCTGGGGGAATATAGCATTGACTTGGTGACAAGTTCATCCATTTTTGCTGCATTAAGGGCCAATAACACAGGATCTATTTTTGGACATTTAGTTTTTTAATCTGTGCATCAAATCAAACTAATTGAACTGCAGTTGAGAATATTTTTATCCCATAAACTATAAATTTGAACTACTATTGCTTACGTATGATTATTGAAAAGTTCTTGCTGATGATTGTTTCTTCCTGTGGATGTCATTTTTTTAGGACGACAGCTTACAATTTTCAACACTCAAGCAACAATCACAGTTGGAGGTAGCGACAGAGGCCGACCTTTTCAGGGTCAGCTGGCGGGCCTGTATTACAACGGCCTGAAAGTATTGAAAATGGCAGCTGAAGCCAATGTGAACATCAAGATTAATGGCAGCGTGAGGCTGGTGGGTAATGGATCCAGTGTGGCAGGTTCAGCCAGAACCACAACCATGACTCCAGAGTTATCCAGCAACGTTTTAGAGTCGACCACCACGACCACGACAACAACCACACGGAAACACAGATCCTCCACGGTACAGGTGGGACGGTCATCAAAACTTTGTCAATGTCTTTCTTTTATTTATTTATTTTTTTACTTTCTTTCAAAGTGGTCTCTTAGTTCTCAAGGCTTTGTAAAGTCTCTTAGTTTTTAAATACAGTATCCTTGAATGCATTTTCACTTATTTTTAGTCCAGTTATATAAGTAATAGTTTTCAGAGGAACTTTTTATTTTCTTAGGCCATCTAACTCTGACCTGTAAATTATTGATGCAAATATTTGACGAAGCAATTTTAACTCTAACAAGGTGATTATTACTGAAGAGCCAGGAAATGGAGGCAGTTGTACTACTCACATTTTACTGATTTATTTAAAAATGGGGGGAAAAAAATAAGTAAGTAAATAAATAAACAGCATCAGTTTTAAACACATATTTAATGAAGAATCTGATGAACAACCAAATGTTGATTAAAAGCACATGGTATTAATTTAGCTTACATTAGTTTGACATAGCTTAGCTTACCTTTGCCAGGCTTATTTTATTTCTGTTAGTGTGCTGTGCAGTGATTAGCTTTTATCCTGTTATTCACTGTGAATTAGTGAGTAAACAAAAGCTTTTCAAAGTTGTAAAAATACATAATTCATTATTTTATATTCCTCTGCATTAGTGATTTTGAGACCAATTAGTCGTACATCATATGTATCACTTTATTTATGCTGGACATATCTCAGGATCTATAAGCATTGTTTTTTTTTTTTTATCCAAAACATTTTCTACATTACAGTTTATATTTTTCCGTCAGTTGTGTGGAGTGAATGTACTTTGTACGACCTGGAGACAATGTCGAAATGACATTTAAACTGCAAACGCGTATTTGTTTTGCCAATAAAAGATAGCAGATAAGGACTACAAGCCAAAATTATTTCTGCTACATAGGTTTATCTCCATGTTAAGCAACGCTTATTAAATATTTGATGGTTATTTATTAATGACTACAATCTGTTATTGACAAAGGAGGCCGTCAGTAAACCTCCAAACTTCTCTGTTCACCCTGTTTGTTGTTTTTCTGTGCTTTCTCCTCACTCTGGATGCGCTTTGTGGTATGGTCTGATGAAGAAGCACGGGGCAGAGGAAATCGTGTCCTCTGCAGAGTGTTCAAGCGATGACGAAGACTTGGAGGAGTGTGAAACAATCCATCCAGGTGGGCTAGGTTAGTTTGCATTTGCTTGCTTTCTTTGTGCACACTCATCTGCAGCAGAGGATCATATGATCCTCAAAGCATCACCTCCCCATGATTATACAAAGTGTAACTTAAGCGCTTACCAGCTTTAGTTGCAAAGCATCCAGTGTAGTAACAGGAATATGTTCCAGGTAAAACTGGAATATTTAAAAAAAAAAAAAAAATCGGAAAAGAAAATTAGTGTGATGCTAGCTGACATTAGATCTAATATAACGAGCTACACTTGCACATGGGGTCTTTTAAAGTGGTAAACATGGTTTCCAGAATACATACAAATGTTGACAGCTGAGAGGAACAATAGGAGTTAAAACATTTGTGGAATCTACATCATAAATCTGTCAAATTTGTATGGAGGTGAACCATGTTCTCTGCACTGATGCTGCTAAATGTGTTTCATCCTGTTTTAGATCATTGCTCCTGCAGTTCACAGCTCTTCTGATTTTCATTTAAAAAACTGTATTTCAAAATATGTCCATTGATAAATTGAGAAATGTCTCCAGATTTAATTTCAGTCTTTTTTGTTCTCATTTGTGTTTTTTTTTTTTTTTTTTTTTTTTGTTTTTTTTTTTTTTTTTTTTTTTTTTTTGTTGTTTATTTTTCACATTTAGAAGCTTGCACTGGTAAATGTGATAGAGAACAGATATCATTGAATTTCTGTGTACAGGTTTTTCTTTCTTTGGGTCATACTTTTGCTCTAAGGTGTACTCATTATTCTGTCTTTTTGTATCCAAATAGATTCAAAAATTTTGATAACTTAAGTTAATCAATCAATTTGAAAAAAATTGGGAATCTCCCTGATATTAAAAAGTATAGCTTTGACCTATTTCAGTGATAATGCCAAATGATAAAAATAACATTTCTCTATGAAAAAAACAAGTCTTTGCAATGAAACAGTTAAAAGTGTGGACATTAACACTTCTTGTAGAAAGCATACAACTCTATGTTTGTTACCAGTACTTTGCATATGTAGTACATGGTACAACTAATATTTTTACATACATTTTTCTGTTTGATAACTTACATTCCCTTCTGCTATCCTGCAACTAATGGCCTATTTTCATGGAACTTAAAATATACCTTTCTTGAATTTTGCAGGTTATTTTCTCAGAACTTGCAATTCACTTTCCTGAAATTTTGAATTCCCTGTACAGGAAATGCAAATATTTTTTTTTCAGAAACCTTGTGGAATTTACATTTTTTATAGATCTTGCCGGTTGGTGTGTTTTTTCAAAACCCAACGGTTGTTTGCTGCACATTTTACAGGTGTGTTTCTAAACACCTTACAAATTCCCATCCTCAAACTTATGGCAACTTTCCTTGAACTTACAGGTTTCTTTCTCAGAATTCCTGTCAATGAATCACAGGTGACTTTCCCATAAGTTTCCTAGAATCATATCATTATACAGTATTCCTGAAATGTATGTTTTAGGATAAGAGTTACCTATATTGGAATAAATATGGCCTGTGAGTTCTGGGATAGAGACAACTAAATTCTAAAAAAATAAAAATAAAAAAAAAATAGAAAAAATAAATAGAAAAAAGTTAGATTTCAAAAAGTTGTTAGGCCAGTTCAGGCTGAGTCAAGTTTGAAAAGCTTAACTGAGTGGTCATACTTGCACTATTGTTCTGCATTTAAGATAAAATTTCATTTTAGAATTTTTGAAACTTCTACTTAATTTGTGAAAAAAATGCAAGTCCTCTTTCTGACTTTGGTTTCTATAGAGTGGGACCTGTTTCAGAATCAGAAAAAAAATATTGTTAAGATCATTTCTCGTGCATCATGTACCATCTTATAAAATGAACTGAATGTATCAATATGCCCCAAATTTCAGGTAAATTAATATACAATTACTATGTAACCTGCATGGTTTATAGAGTCCTCAGGTGTGACAAATAGCCACATTGTTCAAGATAAATAAAAGAAAAAATCTCCTAAAGAATAGCACTAATTTTGTAACTGTATTTACACATGCACAGTTTCATGCTTTCTGCAATAAGTGAACAATTCTTGAGAAAAATCTGTAGTTGAACCACTGTTTCATACTTTTATGTTTAGTTCTACATTTAAAACTTTACCAAACATTTAAAGTTGGCATGAAATGGATCTTCTAGATTTATATGGCTAAGTAAATATTTGACAAATCCAAAATAAAAATAAAATAATGTTTGGTTTAACAGATTGCCAGATAGACTGCCAAAATATATTTAAGTCAAGTGACATGTCAGTTAACTTCACCAAAGGTCAAAGGGTCATTCCCAAATGTTTTCAAACAGAATGTGATCTTGTGGTGTAAAAGGGGATTCAAACGGTGCTGTGAAGCCTGAGATCCATGGGGATTTGTGAAGAAAGACAAAGACAGGGCCCCAGTCATCCAGTCATGTGTTTACACAGAAATTCACACCATTCTAACCCTAACATCATGTTAGCGTGATTGAAAGCTGCATGCTTTAGTTTTTTTTTTTTTTTTGTTGTTGTTGTTTTTGTTTTTTTTTTACTTCATTTTTCCTTCAGTTGGGAAGTCAATGCTATTTCCTGGTGTTTTGTTGCCAAGATTTCACTCCCGTCTTTCCGCGAACTGTGCCAAAATGCATTATTTTGGCCTCATCATCTGTGGCATGGTGTTTTGGTTGGATGTAACCGTTCCCTCACACCTCTTGGTGTATCGTGTGGCTTTGTGTCTTGCCGTTCATCTTCCGAAGATAAAATTACATTTTCATTTTCATTCAATATTTATCTGTCCACCCTGAACAGCGAGACATCGACTCCTTCTTTCACGTCTCATATTATTTTGTCTCCCAGTTTCTAGTTTTTTAAAAAAAAAAAACATTTAAAAAGACCATATTGAAATACATTTTGTTAAGAAGTCCTTAGATAACCAAATCAGTCTGTTCAGGGTGAATCTATTATTTCACTGCATGTTTTCTGAGTGACCCACAACATCTGGCACCTCATCCATTTAACTCAGTTGTTTTATCTGCATTTGTGTTGAACTTGTGAGCCATTTTTGCAGTCGCAGCGTCATCAAATCGCCTGTTTTATCCCACGCTTTTTATTTGTGAGTAGGACTTCCAGTTTTTGTTTGGAGAATTCATCAAGTGATTCTGTTCTCTGTTGTAAACCTTTCTGTCCTTTTTTCTGCTTAATTTTATAAGATGGCAACGAAAATGGGTCATTCAGTTATTTATGAACTACACATTCACACGTTTAATAAATTGAGACCTTTGATGCATTTTTTGTCGAACATTAATAGTGATAAAGATGTATCTTTATTAAGTGATAAAGACACACCTCGCAAACTGTTACTAGGTAATAAAAATCAGTCATGTTTCCCACAATTTGGCAACATGTTTAGGTCACAATAGTTCATTTAAAAGACAGGAAAATATTTATCAATAAATATCATGTAGGAACATTGAGGTATGAAAGTCAACACACCGTTTTAACTCCAGTTTATTTCGCATTAATATTTTACAAGAAAAATAATGTTTTTTACAGAAATTAGTTCCCACCTTGTTTCTATTGCTCTTCACTTGAATAGTCTTTTATTCAGCAAATAATTACTTGAACTTTCATCCCATTCAATCATTAAATGTGGCAGCATGGACTGTCGTACAAAGTCCAGCATGTCAGGTTAAATCTGGTGATGGCACATACACATTTAAAAAATAGCAGAAGAAAACAGTTGAACAAATGACTAACTTTGTCCCTTGCTCATGAATACATAATGGTCAGATGTGCCATCTTATGAAATTAAAATCAGTTTCTTAAAACATGACTTAAGGAGCATAGTGACATATGTTGAAAGAGAAAGCAGATTTAAGGCTGGTCTCCTTGACATTTTCTTTCGGTAGCTATTTCTATCTATTCCGACATCGGAACAACATAATGTAAAACACTCCAAAAAGAATGGTTGCTATTGGGTCAGAGTCTATTAGTTCACCGCCCCAAACCATGGATCAGATGAAACTTGAATTGTGTTAAATATTCCACCTCTACTCTACTGGTTCTGCTTTTTTCATCTGTCTTTTCCAGGATGTCCAATATTTTTCTGTCACTGAAACATAAATGGGAAAGAAGAAGGGAGGTTCAAAAACAATAAATAAATAAATAAACAAATAAATAAATAAATATAGTCATAGCTTTAATTGCTAATAGATTTCCAAGCCCTAATGGTCTAGTAAGACAAATTAACATTAACATTAACCCTAATTAATAGAACAATGTGTAACACATATTAATAGATACAAGCACCACAAAAGTAACATATTTGATTGAGAAAAAGATGAATCCCCAGTGTAGCCCTCTCTCTAATCATCAATGTGATGGCCCCCTGTAATATTTCAAAAATATTACAAAAACATATCTTGTTGTATTTTGTGCACCCAAATCATGTATCCTGTACCACGAGATAAAAACAAAAAGTTAGTGGAAAAACACCCACAAGAAAACACATTGTCAATAGCTTAGATGTTTCCTACACCACTGTTTCCCTTTTCCTCCTCACTGAATAATTCGTTTTTTATTTGGTGTAAATTTTATCCAAGTGAGGGAATCTGTGTTCAACTTAAATACATTTTTAATCTTCATTCAGGTTGGAGAAACATCTAAAGGATGATCAGTGGAAACAGTTCAACTGGTCACCCTTGATCCACTGTTCCACTGAGAGCTTCTTGACATAGGCTGTGAATACTTAGTCAACATGATTTATTGATTTTAAAACTTTAATGAATATTATGAAAACAACCTCTAATGCCTTTTTTTCCACATTACCATAATGGGGTATTTCTGTGCATAATTTTGAGGAAAGAGATGAACTTATTACACTTTTAACTAAGGCTGTAACACAACAAAATGTGGAAAAAGTGAAGCATTGCGAATACTTTCCAGATGCACTGTAAGTAAAGGCAAAGAGTCCTTACAAACTGGGATGTGCAATTACTGTCTCACCATTGTGAGCAAA